ACATAATACCCTCCAGTTCCATCCACGTCGTTGCAAATGGCAAGATCTCATTCCTTTTGATGGCTGCATAATATTCCATTGTATATATATACCAGGGATGTTGAAGTTTTCTTTATTTGCACTGTCTTTGTCAAGTTTTGGCATCAGGATATTAGCTTCATAAAACAAATTTAGAAGTGTTCCCTTCACTAGCTTGCATTAATTCTTTAAATGTTTAGTAGGTTTTTCCAGTGAAACCATCTCGACCTGGAGATTTCTTTTTTGGCAGTTTTAAAATTATGAATTCAATTTCCTTAGTAGTTATAGGGCTGTTCAAATGACCTATCTCGTATGAGGTGAGTTAGCAGATATGCTCATAGGTTACAGAGCCCCTGTGAGTGGGCACCAGGGTGGTGGTGAAGGGCTTTCCTGTTTGTTGGCAGTGGTAGCATGGCTTCTGGTGTTACGGGTGTTATATGCACCACCTCCCACCCAGCCTCTTAGGCCTCACACCAGCCCGGGGAGGCAGGCGACATCTCTTCTGCTAAGTTGTCAAGTTTACATGTTTTGAGTTGTTTGTAGTGTTCCTTTAATTTTTGGATGTCTGCAGGGTCAGTGCTGCTGTTTCATTTTATTCTTGATATTGGTAGGTTTGTTATAGTCCCACAGGTCCCTGAGGCTCTATTCACTTTTCTTTTTCAGTGCATTCTCTCTCTGTTGTTCAGATTGGGTAATTTCTGTTCTGTCTTCCCAGTTCACCGAATCTTTGCTCTGTCTTTTCCTTTCTGCTGGTGAGCCCATCCACAGAGCTCTTTATTTGTTATTTTTGAGTTCTGAAATTTCCATTTGGTCCTTTATATTTTCTGTTTCTTCGCTGAGACTTTCTATTTCTGTATGTGCCTTTCATTTTTCATTTGTTTTAAGTATGTTCATAATTGTTCATTAAACATTTTTAACATGGCTGCTTTAAAATGATTGTCAGCTAATTCTAACATCTCTGGACATCTTGGTTTTGGCATCTATTGACCATCTTATTCAGTTTGACATCTTCCTTGCTCTTGGTATGGCAAGTGATTTTCAACTAAAACCTGGGTATTTTGTACTGTATTATGAGAGCCTGGATCTTCTGTTTTAGTGACACCACTGCAGGAAGGGATGGGGTGGAGGCCACTGCCTTGTTACTGCCAGGTGGAGGGTCATAGAAGTCCAGGTTCCCCATTTAGCCTCCATTGATACCCGGTTTGAATGGGGGAGGTGTTACTGCTGAGAGGGGTTGGAAATTCTGGTTTCTTACATGGTGTCCACTGACACTGTGGCCCACAGCAGTGGCCTTGTTACCACTGGGCAATGGTGAAAGTCCAGACTTTCTACCAGGCCTGCTCTGATACCACTCTAGTGGGGAGGGGGAGTGGCCCTTTGTTACTGTCGGGTGGGAGTGTGTAGTCTCCACTGATGCTGCTAGGGCCTTGTTATTGGCTGGTGGGTATGCACATCCTGGCTTCTTGATTGGCCTTCTCTGATACCACACCATGGGGAGAGTTGGGGTGCCTGGTAACAGCCTTGAGAAGGTGGAATTCTGTTCTCTCTTGGCATTTGCCAGCATGCATGGGTATGGGCCACTGTTTTTATCTTTGGTGTTTGGCTGGAATGGAGCTATAATTGTCTGAAAGTTTTCTCTCTGGGCTGCCTGGTCCTTTGGCTAGAGAGAGCAGGCTTTTCAGGAGACTTTTCTGGTCTGTGTCTGGTATTTATGGATTGCCAGCTTCTTCAGCCTCAAGTCTGGGGAAGAAAGCCCACTTAGCAGATCTTTTACCTAACAGAGAGTTACCCTGGTGTGTGGTGGGCCATGTGGGCATGTATGTTCTCATATCCCCAAAGGGGGAATTAATAATAAATGTTTTCTCATGGCATGTATTACTCTTAGAGAAACAACTCAATATACATGCAGTAGGTGTGTTATAAATGGTTAATAGCAGCTCTTCTTCATGTGTGATATTGTGTATGAAATTATTCCAAAAAGTGATTTCTTAAATAACTATAGAGGTTTGAGTAAATTATTTTTACTTCCCAAAGTGCTTAGTATAACTTCAGGAAATAAATTATTACTGTTACTATTACTTCTTAATTGGTACCATGTGGTCCCAAGGGACAGTATGAAAGAATTGGGGCATGCATGGATCTTTCTGGTTATTTTGTATAAATGAGACACTTGAATTGGCTGCTAATTTTAACATGTGTGTAGTAGTGGAGGCCATTAATTGTTTAGCTCATAGAAGTGATTTTTAAGTTATGTTGGGATGTTTTAAAACTGATGTGTTTTTAAAAATATCGGGTCTTTTTTCTATCCTTATGTTACAATATTTTACTAGACTCATACTGTTCTCCAACTAATTGACTATCTCAGAGAGGATGTTCATTTTAAAAAAGTGCAAAAACAAATAATTTGTTCTTTTTCTTTGGCAGAATCAGAAAACTGACTTGTCCAGAATGAAAGGGAGTGGGACAGTAATCAGGTGTTGATAATCTTAGCCAGTGTTTTGTGTGTGTATCTGTGTATGGTTTTGAAAGTGATAAATGATAGACAACTTGCTGGAAATGGAGCAAATGGAAATGTAGGTTAGAAATATCTAATAAAACTTTCTGTAAAACACTTTATATTTGCACTGTGTTAAGGTTTAAGAAGTGATTGTAATAAACCTTCTCTTGTAGTCCTGCCTTTAAAAAACTGATTATGATACCTTAAAATGTAACTTGTAGGGTGCTGGTATAGAAATATATCCTGGGAGTAAGTGCACCTTAAGTGACAATGAAATCCATCACTGCAAGGAAGGGATACTCATTAAGGTGAGTACACCTGCTAAAACACCCTCTTTCCGAAGGTTAGTTAGAATGGTTTCATCTAAGAAACAGTTATGTTTCATTAAATTCCCATGTTGAGTTCTATTGTTTTCTGGTTTTGAAAAGCACAAACAGTATATACATCTTAATAATGCTCTTGATAGGGCGCCTGGGTGGCTCAGTTGGTTAAGCGACTGCCTTCAGCTCAGGTCATGATCCTGGAGTTCCAGGATCGAGTCCCACATCGGGCTCCCTGCTTAGCAGGGAGTCTGCTTCTCCCTCTGACCCTCCTCCCTCTCATGCTCTCTGTCTCTCATTCTCTGTCTCGAAAATAAATAAATCTAAAAAAAAAAAAAAAATAATAATGCTCTTGATATTAGTAGTTGGTGATTGAGGGTCTTTTGTGAGAATACTTTGCTGTCTATAGATCTGCAGAAATGACAGAGCAATGCTGTGTCACTCAGACTGTGCTACCACTTATTAGTAAGCATAGCTTTCTCCTTTATTTTTAGAATAGCCTGAAAAAAGTGAGAAGATTTTTAAAATCAGGCCGTGTTGAATATGACAGTTCCTTAAAACATTTGTTTTCAATGTCACAGGACTTCTTAGATGAGCATTATGACATTCCCAAAATATCCATGGTGAATAATGTCATACATAATAATGAAGGTTATGGTGTTGTCTTGGTGAAACCTACAATCTTCTCTGACCTGCAGGAAAATGTCCAAGATGAAATTGAAGGTATGCTATATTTAGTGATTTTTTAAAATAAAAATCAGATTGGGCACCTGGGTGGCTCAGTTGTTAAATGTCTGCCTTCAGCTCAGGTCGTGATCACAGGGTCCTGGGATCGAGCTTCGCATCGGGCTCTCTGCTCAGTGGGAAGCCTGCTTCTCCCTCTCCCACTCCCCTGCCTGCTTGTGTTCCCTCTCTCGCTGTCTCTCTCTGTCAAATAAATCTTTAAAAATAAATAAATAAAAATAAAAACCAGATCTAGTTTGCTTTATTTCAGCATTAAACTTTGATTAAGGATCTGAGTCTTCCTCTCCTCCTTAACAAAGATCACTGGCATATGCTTGGACATGGAGGTAGAGAAGCTTGGGAAAGACTCTCAGGGTGAAAGAAACTTTCAAGGTCAACTAGTTCACCTATTCATTCAAAACCTTGGTGTGTGGTTTCTTTGGTCCCACAGTTCCCTTCATACCATGGTTGACTTTCTGTACATTTATAGAATAAAGCTGGGCCTACGATAGCAGTGGTAGGTCCCACTGGCATTTGTTAAAGATGGAGGCAGAGAAGTGCGTGTCCCAGCTTGAGGGCTGCACTTACTGGAGGGGATCGTGGCGTTTATCTCTATTTTTTATTGGCAGAAGTAATGCCTCTCTGTCAACTGTTTTTCTTGGCAGCAAAGCTGAGCTCATTCAGTAGGAAATTCATGACTTTCAAGCCATGACCTAGATTACTATGAAATCTCAGTCCGAGGGATTAAGCATTGGCATGGGTGAGGAAAGTAGTCCTCATCAGCCTTCAGGACCCACTCCAGTTCTCTGTGAGGTCTTTTTCTTCTCACAGTTCTGTAGGTCAGAAGTTCAGGTGGCTTGGCTGCATTATGTACTTAGGGTCTCACAGGGTGAAATTAAGGTGAATGGGCTTTTATCTGAGAGCTCTGGGGGGAACATCTGCTTCTGAGCTCATTCGTATTGGCAGAATCCATTTCCTTGAGGCTGTAGGAATGAGGTCTCCATTTTTTTTGCTATTGGCTTGGGATTGTTCTCAGCTTCTAGAGGCCACTGTCAGGTCCTTGCCCCATAACCTCTCTATCTCAGCAACCTTCCTTAAGAGAACCTCCCTCAAGGCAAATTTTGCTCATCCTTCAAATTTCTCATGTTTTGAATTTCTTCATGCTTTCCTCTTCTTCATCAAGCCAGAGAAAACCCTGCTTTTAAAGAGTCCATATGATTAGGTTAGGGACACCTGAATTATCTTCTTAAAGTCAGCTGATTACATGCAGAAAATCCTTTTGCCATTTAACAACCATGAAAGTAACACCGGGGATTGGGCATCATAGGAACCATCCAGAATTCTGCTTATTATGTTATACACTCATAATGCTGGCTTATTATGTTATACACTCATAATGCTGGCATTAGCTGCTAGAGTGGGAGTTCTTTTAGGAAGAGTGGCACTGTCTTATTAATCTTTGCATCTAGCTCCTTACCACCACGCTTAGTAGGTAAATACCCAAAAAAGGTCCGTTGAGTGAATGAGATTCTAGGATAATAAGAGAAAAGAATTCAAAACTGGTAATCCTGTATGAGGGTCAGAAAGCCTTGGTACAAAGAGTAAGACAGCTGTTCATTGAGATACTTAATGGCAAAGAGTTTGTAGAATCCAGTCGGATGACGGCAGGAATCCTTGGCAGAAAACACTTGAAAGCTCTAATAGAATGTAGAAATATATATATTATATATATATATATATATATAAAATATATTTTGTTGGGTTATTTTGTACATTTAACTTTGTTATAATTTGTTTCTCCAGAAAATAGAGCACTTAAAATTCCGACAAGTGAGGAGGCAGGCACAGCAGAAAGGGTGGATCTAGAAGAGTTGATTCAGTGTGCAACTGGCAAAATGGAGCTTTATGCAAGATCCAGCCTTTCTGAGCAAGCTGAAGGCAACTGTGAAATTGTAAATGAACTAGTTGCTGCCTCCACACAGAAGGGCCAGATGAAGAAGAAAAGGTTGAGTGAACTGGGGATCACACAAGCTGATGACAACTTAATGTCACAGGAGATGTTTGTTTCAATTGTGGGCAACCAGTTCAAGTGGAATGGGAAAGGGAGTTTTGGCACATTTCTTTTCTGACCACCATGATGTAAATAGATAGCAAAATATTGGATTTTGCACATGCTGTCCCGAGAATCACTGCTGCTATCATAGTTCACTTCATGTCTGGATTTTATATTAGATAAATTTGATTGGGTTTGAGTGAAATGTACATCTATTTCTATCTGCAGGTGTTGCACGTGAAACATTCCCTCTGTATAAGGAAGGTCATAAAAACATACAGAAAATATTTAAAGATTTCTTATCTAGAAAGTCTTGCTTTCTCAAACACATCATTCTGTCATATTATTAAGCCTATCAGTAACTTTCTAGTGTAAATACACTTTAACCTAGCACTTCAAAGATGAGGAAAAAAGTCAGAGAATGCAAGATGAGTGCGCAGAAATGCAATAGGTGTCAAATGTGCAGGGTTCTTACACTTGTCTTTTTCTCCCAATTACAGCAAGTCTGATTTCCATGCTGCATTTGCATAATACTTGTCTTAAAATAAAAGCTTTTATGATTGGGAGGTTATCTGCATAATCAGGCTTATTATTGAGAATCTGAGTGGGATGCATTTTTGTGTTGAACTATGTAATCATCAAAACAGTAATAGATAGCATGGCAGGTTTGAAACATATGAGATGTGTTATTCAGAGCCAATGCGTATATAGAGCATTTTCACTGTTGCTGAATATGAATGATTAAAAAGAAGGTGTTTTTCTTTCGCCATAACAGTATTCTGATCAAATTCAAATGTCTTACACACAGTGATTACTTTTACAATATATATCAGCTCTGTGTTCTTGAATATTGTATTGTAAAACACAGCTTTTAAAAATATTTATATTTTTAAAAAGTATATGTGACATTAATATGCTTATTAAAATTAAAATGATAAAATAATAAATTGAATGTTGTTATATTTTTCCAGACGCATTATGGGCCATAGTGCTGTGTAGCATATGTGGCCCTTTGGAATGCACACAAAATTGTTTATCTTTTTAGCGTTTCAGAAGGAGTATTAAATTTTTTCTTCAGTGTGGTGGTTTATTTCTTAAATTCGCATACATTATTCTTATTTTTCAGATGCTACTAAATGGGGAAGAATTTATGTTGGATATTTTGTTTGACCATTGAAAGGCATTTTTCTTTTACTCTTTTTAAATCCTGTTGCAGAGGTAATGCTAATTAATTCTGCATCAACTTGAGCCAAATACTGATTTAAAAATCACTTATTCAGCTTTTTAAAAAAGCCAAATTGGTTTTCCAGTCAAATTTCCACTTTATCTTGGAGTTTAGATTTCATATATTATAACTTGCTGGAGTGTCAAGAGAATGACAAGTAACAAGATAAGTAAAATGAATACCTTCTTTATTCTTTTTTAAAACATGATAGTTTTTAGATTTCATTTCTATCTTAGTTTAAATCTAAACTTATATTAATTTTTATTCATGTGATAAGTTATTAGTGAGTAGGCCCTAATGCATTCTTATTTAAGTTATGTAGAGTACATTTTGCCTCATTTGTGAAGAGTTGAACACTTTAGATGACTTAGTACAGGGGTAGAGAGAGAGCTCTGGAAGGATGTGGATTTGACATTTGAGATGAAAACATTGACATGGGAGAAGGACTATCTTCAATGTTGACTGAATTATGTTGATTGAAGTACCATATGTCCTATCCTTGTGGTCTGCTCTTAGTGTAATCTTGGAATTTATGGCAGGTAGCAAAATTCTGTACCTTGATTTGAGTATTTGAGGTTCTCTAGAAGTATCTCCTTTGGTTTCTTATTCTCTTATGCCACAGATATGTAAATGAATGTATTTTCATTCATTCAGCAGAGGTCATTTATTCTCAAGTGTGGCCATCCCACTTTTCTAGGACTTCTGCCATTTCTAGTTGTAGGAGGTTGGAGAAATACCCACTTATCAGATTTGGCTCTTTGGAGGGAGGTTGAGGAAACTTACCTATAGAACTTTGATGAGTACCTAGGAGTAATCCCACTTATGTTGCTTTGTAATTCAGTTTACTCTTTTTATTTCTATTACTTTCTAGGAAAAAAATTCCATAGGCTTCTATGGAAACTGATGATTAGGCCTTGATGCAAATTTTATACCTAGCATGTAATTTTAAAACATTTTATTCTATGACTTAAAAAATTACATATATGTACAAAATTTTTAAGTTTTTTTTTAAAGATTTTATTTATTTATTTGACAAAGAGAGGGCAAGAGAGCACAAGCAGGGGGAGCTGCAGAGGGAGAGGGAGAAGCAGACTCCCTGCTGAGTCAGGAGCCCGGTGTGGGGCTCGATCCCAGGACCCTGGGACCATGACCTGAGCCGAAGGCAGATGCTTAACTGACTGAGGCACCCAGGCGCCCCTATTTTTAGTCTTATATGTGTTAAAGTGAACATTCTCCTCTTTTCCCAGTTTTCACTATTAATAGAAAAATACATATCCTTTAAAAGCAATAAAAACATAGTATATAATGCTCTGAAAATTACTTTTGCTGTTTTAACACATTATAGAAATCTATGTCTGTATGTACAGATACATCTCATTCTTTTTGTTGATCATGTTAAACTCCATTGTCAGAATTCTTTCATTTATAAGTGATAGAAACCCAACTCAGGCTGATGAGGGTTGGTTGCTGGAAGTAGGAGGTCTGAAGACTAGAGCTGATTTTGGGCATGGTTGGGTAGTTCTATCCTTTAATTCTGCCTTTCCTGGTGTTGGCTTCATCCTCAGGTTGGCTTTTTCCATGTGGTGGCAAAAATGGCCATCAGTAGCCTGTTTTTATGGCCCCAGAAGGGAGAGAGACCTTCTAATGTCTGGTTGGTTCTGCCAGTATCTGCTTGTCCTTTGACCAGTCACTAGGAACCTGAGGGATGGTGCCATCTGCTCTCAATGAGTCACATAATGAGGGGTCGAAGTTCGTGATTGACTCATTCCCTAGGTGGTGAAAGAGCAGTTTCTAGAGGAAAGGTTCTGTTTCTAGAAGCAGATGGAAGGGCTGCTTTGGAGGCAAAAACATAGATGTCTCGCCAGAGACGGATGAGGCATAACTTAACATATTCCCCTGTGTTGATGGATTTTCAGGTTTTCAGTTTTTCATTATTACAAATAGACAGAAAAAAGGATGCAATGCAACACGTGTGACATCTCTAAGATTTTCTGTGGTTAAATTATTAGATGAAGGGATACCTGGGTGGGTCAGTCAGTTAAGCATCTGCCTTCAGCTCGGGTCATGATCCCAGGGTCCTGGGATCGAGTCCCGCATCAGGTTCCTTGCTCAGTGGGAAGCCTGCTTCTCCCTCTGCCTGCTGCACCCCCTGCCTGTGCTCTCTCTCTGACAAATAAATAAAATCTTAAAAAAAAATTATTGGATGAAGACTTTTTGGGTTGATGGTTGTGGATTTAAATTTTGATAGCTATTGCCAGACTGTTCACTAAGAAAACGAGCACTGGCTTATACTCTGTCCACAGTATGTGGGAGTGACAGTGTGCCATATTCTGATAGTACCAAATATTGTCAATTAAAAAAATATGCTTGGGGCACTGGGCTGGCTCAGAAGAGCATGCAACTCTTGATCTTGGGGTTGTAAGTTTGAACCCCATTTTGGGTGTAGAGATTACTTAAAATCTTTTTTTTTTTTTTTTT